GTTTAAGAGTAGAACCATTAGGCAACTGCACCCACTCTCTGTACAATTATGATATTAGGCCAGCTAAAGGCTTTATATAGGAAATAAAGTCTTTATTAATATAATGACTTTAATATATATATTGTTATCTTAAATATTTCATAGAATGATTTCCTTGTTATAAGGATATATTCAGTAACTTGGTCCATATTCTTCAAGTGAGTGGCATAGGAAATAATGTCCTAAATAAATAAATTGTTGTCTTAAACTTTTCACATTATGATTTCTTTATAAAAGAAGAATTAAATAATATGATCCATGTTCTTTAAGTGAAATTAAAGGGTAGGGCATAATCTACATGATTCATTTCTTTCTGTCTTAACATTTTATGTAGCACTTTATATTTAAGTGACCAATATGGTAGAAACAAACTGTTTGATTTGAAATATTATTTTCTTAAATTACCACTTAAACTATGCAAAAACAGAGTATCACATCTTAAATTGAAAGAATCGTTTATGAACAGTGAAGGAAAGAATATATTTCTTTTGCTTTTTTCTCATTTTCATAATAAAAGATGTTCCTTTTCATGGTGCTACATAAGTCATGCAATGGCAAATGGTTTGAATTGTATTATAATAATTATGAAAATAATCACTAAAACTATATTGAGTTTGTACGTTGCCTTGAATTAGACTTAATCAAGGCACGATCATGATTATGAGTGATTCAAGTTTTATATAACCTATCTTTAGCATTGAAATGACAATTCTTTAAGTTGTCCATTTTAATTCTTTAACTGGCTTAAACGTCTGCAAAACATTGATTGAATATCATTATAACATACTATCAGAAATTTCCAATAAAAATTTTCCTAATCATACGAAAACTTCCTAAAAGATCAACTAAACATCATAACAATGTAGCTATTTTAATACAACCCAATAATTACGTTTGAAATAACTTGACAATGTTGCTATTATTATTTACGACGGGACTTTGCGAAACAACTTCCTTGCCAAAATGAGAAATTTTACTTTACGACGTTAAGGTCAAAACAATGTGAAGTCAAACTACAAATAGACCGTCGTTGGAAGCCATTTTTTTCGGTCCCCGTTAGGATGATTGACTTTCATCTCTCGGGAGTTGTTTAAGAATTGAGTGACGGTTAAATAGAAATTGCCTGACAGAGTAATTAGCCATAGGACTATTCTAATGATACTAGTATCGAATCGCGACGATAATGAAAATTTAAATAAATATTCAAATCACTATTGCCATTAAACAAAACTTTTGATGAGACTACTGTCAAACGATGCTAGAATTTTTCTCTGAGTTAACGAGCAAAATAGGAATACATTTCGTAAAATACTGCTTTATTTTAACATCAATTAATCTATACATATAATTGTAAAGTGGTTTTTTTTATCATCCCATGAATCTGAGAGGTTTTAAAAAAATTACAAAAAATACATTTCAACATTGCTGTGCAAAATTCATTACTGAACCCTATTCCTCCCCTTATCTTGTGAAATAGACTTGCCCTCCTGTAAAATCAGAACTGACTATGGTTATTTTTAAGGGGTTTCAATATCAAAGAAGTTAAAATTTAGCAGACAACAATGCAAAAACCTGGTCAAGCTCTGTGCAGGTTGGCCTGACTTTATACAATAGCAAAGGCAAGTTTTTTTATCTTTCATAGCATTCAAAAATTTACGTTTCTTTTGTCATATTGCTTAGTTATTCTTTGAAAACTGATATTTTTTCTGTCAATATGCGTAAGAATTCATTTGTTTACAATGTCCTTGGTTATTGTTTCTCTACATTTTTGACATATTGTATTTCGTAAATCACAATGATTTTTCTTCCTCATCTATATTGTACTACATCTTTCTAAAGTTTTGTTTACTTCTTTTTCAATAATGGAATATAACTTAAATTACAGTTTGAAACAAATGTTTTCTCGCCAATATTAATCACGGTAAGGAAATTGCTATTTTATAAAAATGATAACAATCTGCGATGGTATGGAAATTATATCAATTTTCAATCAAATCTATCTGTTCATTAAAATTAAGCCAGTCCAAAATTAGATACAAAATATACATACAAAAAATAATTACAAAAATTTGTGTTTCATATTAATAATCTTTTTTTTTTCATAAATGCACAAAATGTTCAAATAAAATTATATCTAAAGTACATAATAAATTAGTACATGTATGTAAATAATGACTATGCTATGATTATTTGTTATACATTTAGAAATAAAAATTTGAACAAATGATAAAAGGTTTCATGCCCATATGTTATACAGTAGTGATGATTTGACATTTAATAGATAAAGTTACAATAGATTAAAAATCAATTTTTTCCGTCTGATAGATTTTTAGTTTGCTTGTGGCATTTAAGTATAAATCTCATATGAATTTTTTTTTCAAGCATTTCAAAGTTACTTTTGTTGTTACTAAAATTCTTTTCTGAATTATAAAGATCGTGAACATATCGATAATAAACTTACAAAACTCAGAAGAACGTTATAAAGACACAGTGCATTTTCAATCGACTACAGGTTACACGTAAAAAATACGTTACATTTGTAACACAATATGCAAAATTACAGATCATATTTTGATACATATTGATCGAAGATCCTCGTATTTTTTGTTCTCCAATTAATTGTGCTCTATTTAATCAATTAACTAACTATAGCTTGTATTAGATGTTAGATGGCAATATTTAATACCCCATATAAAGATGTCATATAAAGATTATCATTGATTTCGTATTAAATTGACACGTACACATTGTCTGTTTTTTTACAATATGAAATATATTATTACAGTTTATGTAAAAATATTTATGTTTGTGTGTAAATGGAATGGTCATTTAAAGTGAAATACACATAGTTTTTTATTGCTACAGCTCATAATATTATAATACTGTTATTACGGGAATGGCCATTTAAAGTGTAAAACTATTACAGTCAAAGTATATCATTCTGTACCAGTGTAAATTGAATGGTCATTTAAATTGAATAGTATATATTTATAGTATACATCTTTTAAAGTAGAAAAAAAGCAATAGTCAATGTAAGCATCCCATTCTAGTGTAAATTGAATAATCATTTAAAGTGAAAGAAATAAAGATAATGAATATATATTTTTACACTTTTATTATTGAAAAGAAAAATAATATCAGGTTTGCAATAGAATTATATAAATAAGCATGTTAAGTCAGAAAAAAAGGTCTTTTAAGAAACAAAGATTAAACATTTAACCCCTTTTTAATTGCTTAATATCTTAAATGGACTAGCCTGATTTTTTTCTACTTGGACAATAAAAACCATATTGTCATTTGGGTAAAAATTTCAAAATAATTTCTGATTGAATGAACAAACTGTTTAGACCATTTCAGACTGCACATATTTGTGCCCGAACGGCCCTCTGACCAAGGACTTGATATTGCAGCACTGGTTGCATAAGTACATGTTGCTGAGGGTTTAAACCAGCTGAGGGTTTAAACCAGCTTTAAACCAGCTGAGGGTTTAAACCAGCTGAGGGTTTAAAGAGCTCACACTGTCACCATCCTTATTTTACAGTTATATCAATCATAAGTCTATAGGAAATTAATAGAAATCTATGTACAAGTTCAAAGAAAAAATATATACATTATAAATTATGAATTAACTCTTATGAAAAAAAAATGTTCTTGTAAGAGTAACCTTAAAAGTACCAGGGTATTCCAACAAAAAAACAAACCATTTAAAATTTGCAGAAGGGGTACAAATAAAACATAAGTAAATTTTTATTATACTATATTCCAATTAAAAAAATTGTGATATTAAGAACTTTATTGAATTCAAACTTTTATTGCAATTAAGTACAGTATATACATACTTATAGCAAATTAAAAGAAAAGAAAAATACACGTAAACATGAAATTTTCGGGAATCATAGTATGAAGAATGGAAACAAAGATATTTCATTTCAGTTAGCATTATACATGTTTAAAGTATACATGTAGATATGATTTTTTTCAATCAATGAATTAAAATAATTTACACAAGAATGGATATGGCCATGCAACATCCTAATTAATTAAATGATTATGTTTTATCTTCTTTCCTAACTTCTATTTATTACTTGAAAAAAAAAGTTCTTGTCAAATTAAAAAAATAATAATTAAAAACAAAACATTCAATATAATGGATATTACATTATCATTATATTCTAAATTATATGTAAAAATGTATAATTCCTTGACTAAAGAAAGTCTAAAAATAACTTGCTGAGTTTAGTGTATTTTTAAATGAAGTCATTTAAAATCTTCAAAAAAAGAAAAACATCAAAAACGAAGCCCTTCAAATCTAGAAAAAAACAAAAACAAAACAAAAAAATCCTAACACTATTTTCATATGAATAGTTTAATCATGTTAAAACCCATGAAATTGTATGAATAAAAAAAATAGACATTCATTTAAAGATATTGCTACTGTGTCATGTTATAATTTATTGCTAATTTGAAGCTGGAGATAAAAATTGACTACTTTTTGCAGTGCAAAAGGTTACACGGAATCTGTTCATCTGAGCAGCTTATTATAAAAGTTGATTGATCCTTAAATTGGTCCAATTATCTGATAAATCTCGAATATTTAACGTTAATAATTAAATACGATGTTTAACCAGCCATATATTACTGGCATGATGATATTTTCAATTTTCTGCTGCAGACGTTGTTATGTTCACAGTGATTTTAATCATTAAAACTGATCATGTTTTAAAAATTTAGTCAATTTACGAATTTACAGAAAAATTAAAATTTGTGTTCGTTTTAGCATCCCTGTTGATATAATAATTTAATATTGTACTAAAATAAAATTAAAATTGTTGTTATGAATAATTTGATTTTAAATAAATTTGTTTCATTGTTGAAATATTTTTTTAACGGAACTTGTAGAAGTTTTAACACAGAAATATCATTTTGAAGAAGATAGTATTATTATTTTTAAATTAACATACCTTTTGACGGTGCGGCGTCTCCGTTTTGTGGCGTACATTTTGGAGCTAAGTATTGTGTCCACCATCAATTTTGTCCTGTTTGAAACCAAATCCTGCTGCAAAATCCTTTATTACATAATCCAATATTTGTATAACAAAATTTTGGCGATATTCTTTATTAAGGTGTAATCAACTTTTTTGCTGCAGTTGTTTTATCGGATAACTTTCATCGGAACAAAAAATAATCATGAAATCCGCACTTCTACGTTAAAGATCATTCTACGGTCATGATTTTTTTTCTGTATTCAAATAAATCACGTTTCAAATGGTTTAAAACATTTTAAAGAAGCCAATCATAATCATAACCTGAATGTCGATACATGTATCGTGTACATTTGTATTGTTAAATCGTAAAATTTCGCACTTCAGGGTAATTAATGTAACAATTCGCTGCAGAAAAAGAGCACTATCACGCAAATTCTGTATCGAGCTATGGTCAGACACGAATATTACACAGACAATATCGTGGGGACATATACTTAACTTCCAAGAGTCCTTGGTCACACGCCACATCACTTATTCATTCTAAAACCAGACATAAAGATGAAAGCCACACCTCCTTTACTATCCAGTCCCGCCTCCTGCTATTCAGCTTGAAGCCGGATTGTATCGTTATCGAATATTTAAATAACTTGACTGCAATTTGTCAGATTAGCTTTTCTATCACTGACAGAGGATAGCCCAGGGCTGCCATCCTCTCTATGATATCTTCTTTTACACTATATCGTCTTAAATTTGACATTTATGTGAAATTGGATTACTGAATTTTTAATGCACTAACACTCGAATAAAAAGTCACTGAATGAAAAAAATAAAAATGTGTGGTGTAACTTTTTTTTTTTTTTTTTTTTTTGTGGATAAAGACAAAAAATAGGAAAAACAGTAAAAACAATCAAATGTATTGTCAGATTTATGATTTATTATCCTTTATAATTAATAGAATTGGACACTGATGCATTGCTTTAGGTAGTGTGTTTTTAATTATTATTACCACTGAATGTGAAGATATTTTTTGCATAAATTATGCAAATTAGTTTTATTGGAATAAAAGAATATGTACAATCATATAACAGAGTAACTGTTTAATTAATACTAATTCTCTTATTACTATTGAAACTTTGAAAAATCTAAACAAATATCCTTGAATATTAAATTCTTGCATGGTGCATGCATGACAAATATTTTATAATGATAAATATAATTTATGATGCCAAAGCACCTGTCTTTTATTATTTTGGTTGATAAAAAAAAAGTTAAATATCAAAAAAAATAAAAAAAATTAAGATTTGATATCAATTATGAAAAATACTGACATCTGGTATCATAAAATATCTATGATAACTCTTTAATTTTAATCATACATTAAAATACCTAAACATATTAATAATGTTTTAGATGTAACAAACACCTTAATATGTCATAATTAAAGGATTTTAAGTAAATATATATAAAATATATAAATTTTGATGGCCTAGATAACACTGTGTTTCCTGGTTGTTTTAAAACAATTATTAGCACCATTTTAATTTACTATAACTATTCATCAATGTCTTAAAAATTAGGGATTCAAAATTTTCACTTTCCTACCTGCCTGTTTCACTTTGGTTTAATGCATTAAAAATCAATTTGCTTCTTGTTTTCAATACAAAAGGTTTTTGTGTTCAATTTAAAACAATTTGGAAATACAAAAAACATGCATTGATGTCAATCAGAGAGGAGAATGTATTTTTTTGATTCATTTAGTGGTGATCTTCTTCAAACATCTTGAAATTCAAGCAAGTCAGGTCTAAATGTCAACAATGATCCTTTTACAGAGGTGTCCTTTTTATGCAAGTTCATGGTGTTTACAATAGATAATTCTTCCTAATATTTTCCAAATTACTTAATTTGAATCTTTCATTATAATAATAATAATAATAATAATAATAATAAAATAAATAGTAAAAAAAAAAATCATCATGTAATTTTATCATAAGACAGAATAGAGAATGACGAACTGGAACAAAAACTGTGTTTACAATTACTGAAGAATGAAACGCTTTCTTCCTTTATCACAAAACTCTTTATTTATTCAATACATTTTCAGAATGAATTGTATGAGATCACATTGACAAGTCTCAATAAAAGATACAATCGGACGTGAGGCGAGCATTTGATGTCGTTCGAGTATCGACAATGTACGTGGCCCGAGGGTAGGATCAGCCACGCGCCAAGTCAAATCATTTAATCAACCAGCAATTACAGTTATAACGATACTCCATCGATACTTCATCGAAATAAAGCCAGTTTTCTGTGAATCAAACATATGGTTTTAAACGATGTCATTAAATACGTCAATGATGAATGAAAATTTTATGTTGCTTTATTTTTGTATTTTTAATATTGTTGATTTTTTTTAAATAAAAAAAAAAAACACAAACAGGCAAAAATATTTTTAAGGAAAACAATACTACATCTTAAGATCAGATATCACGTGCTTGTGTAATGGTAGAAACTGCATGCTGTTTCAAGAGAAATGCCAGAAATAGAAGATCGTGCGAATTATGTTTTCTGGCAAGTTGTTTGCATTAATTAAGTCATCTAATTTGTTGTTATTATTATTAATAGAAAATTTAAATTAAAAAAATATAATGAAGAAGTTATCAAAAAAAAATTTCAATGTGGTTGTATGGCTATTTTTTTCTCATGTTGTTTGTATATTTAACTTGACACTCGATCTAGAGTGTTATAGTTAAAGGAACTCCACTGAGTTCCAAAGTCTAAAAACATAAAATTTGAATTTCTTACATAGATCAGTAACTGTTGAGGCACTTAAAACACAAAGATATACAAAAGGTAATTAAGAAATGATATAACTCTGAAATTAATTAGAAATTGTATTTCTGTGCTATTCTTAGACCGATTATAGTTACAAAGCTTCTCAATTTTGTGTCTTTTTCACAATTAGAATAATTATTCTGGAAAAACGGATGGAGTGAATGCAATATGATCTGAAATTTTGCACACAAATCATTGTTCTATAACTACATTAAATGAAACATCAGTCTTGAAAAAATATTTCCAGTCCCGTCATGTCAAAAAAAACCTCAGTGGTGTCCCTTTAAGCAGTGAGTATAAGACTTGCCTATGTTACCTGAGTGAGCTTTTAAATTAGGCCAGTCCGCAGCTTGATACTTTTGGCAGCTCAAGATCTTGAAGTTTCCTAAACTTACAAAAGTAGATCCAAAGTTAAAGCAAAGACTAGTCAATGACAATAGTTCACTGGGGATAATAAATAGCTAACTGACCCATTTCTCAACATTAATTTTCAAAAAAAGATAATCACATAAACTAAAAATGTGAGGATTTTAGAACTTGGTTACTGATAAAAAAAATAATAAAGTAAATAAATCTACCTTAAAATATAATTAAAGCCAATATAGAATCCTAAAGTCAAGCCAATATTTCAAAATACTTTTACTTTAAAGCTTTCTATCAGGTCTCACCCACCTTGAAACACAAATAAAATTCAATTAATAATACAAAAACAAACAACAGCAACAACATCAGCAACAAAAAGTGTTAGATCTTAATTAGACTCAAATGTAATCATTTAAATGGGCTTTTATTTTACATCTTTGCATAACATACAAAAAGCACCCCATAAACAAACAAAACAAACATATAAATTCAAATCCCAAGGAGAAAAGTCTTCAAAGACGTAACTCTATGCCACTTGTTACAATTAACTCGGCGAAAAACCAATATAAAATCTTACATTATGTTTGTTCCGACAATGCGCGAGATATGAGAGTAAATATTGATTCGGTGAAAATCACCCTTGATTGTTACAGATATGATCTGTCGCTTGTCGTGCTATTTAATGTACAAATAATTACAGAGCATCAACGTGACGTCACGCTTCACCAAACGGACCCTATGCCACGACCATTAAAACTCCTTGTGAAAAATGGAAGCTACTACACTTATCTTTAATCTTGTCTCCCCTTGTCCCGATTGAAGTGTGCCATACTTCATGTGAACTACAGTGAAATGAATGTTCTGATAATGCAGTTATCAGATGAAATAATTATCGAAAGAAATTGGTAATTATCTGAACTTTGACTGCCATCGGTTTAATATGATTTATTAAGTTTTGTTTAAATTTGACAGGAACATTATTCTCATTCTGACAAAATAAATACAATCAAGTGCAACCATCGGTGTAATTATTAGTAAAATTCATTTTACATGATTTCACTGTCATTTTTTAATAGATACATCAGCTGCTGTAAGTTTGTTTAATGGTGTACATATTTCTAAGACAAGCAGTCATAATTTTCATTCATACGACAATCTGAGTCAAACCCATTTGGTAATTGTATTAGCGAGTACTTTACAAAGAACCCCCTTTATTAATTACCCTGCTCCATTCATTCCTGTCCAAATCTCCTTTGACCATTCAGTCTGGAAAACTGCCTGGTAAGGCTTACGCCATCTTCAACTCCTCAGTACCTTTGCTTTCCCTAACTTCTACCACTTGTACATCAAGATCTAGCCATCATCATACAGAGTAGCTCTACTTAATTAACCGTTAATTGATAGTAAAATAAAATATTTGAAAATAATTCATAACATTTCATAAATTTAGATAGCACCTTGGGTATAACTACAGATCATTTTATCAAGCAGAATAAATTCCTTAAAAGATTCAAACCTAATACTGACAAGGAGCAAGAGATTAAAAGTTCATTGACCCATTACAAAAGGTACAGGTAGAACTGGATAACTTAGGTTTACCTCATACAGACAGACAAACATCTGGACAGACAGACAGATGGTTCAATTACTATAATTATGCTAAGGGGCATAAAAATTTTAGTATCAAAGTACTAAAACTACACTACCACTACCAGCCGTATAGAGCCTGAGCGACCAGACTGCCCTGTTGTGCCTGGCTCTATACTTGTGGCAAAAGCAAACTTCTGATCCCAACATGCTATTGGTTAAGAGAATCAATTAGGAAGAGGCTGGAGGTAAGCAACTTAACAACTCAGACACATAAATTAGTTACCATAAATTTTTACAGCGGGTGCTGCAGTGATCTCGGGGTAATTTATTGTCTGACTACAAATCCAGGGAAAGCAAGTTTAATCCAGCATCTTCTCTGACTAACAATTACTAGGTATGATCTTCCAGATGAGTCTTTAAAAACTTAGGTTGAATATACTTTTTTCTTGCATTTATCTTCAATAAATCTAAATTAGTAATAGCCTTCTTAAGTAAGTTATCCACATATTAGTTTCTAATGGTTGACTTTAACCCTTACCACATAATTTGACTTTTAAATCTGGATAAAACTGTTCATTATTTTAAATGAAAATTTCAAAATATTTACTGACTGAATAGTGAAAAGTGTCGAACATTATCAGACAGTACAAATGTGCCAGGTGATCTTGGTTTGCACTGGTTGTGTGGGTATTATTGGTTGCCGCTAGCAGTCTGAAAGTAAGATAAAGGTACATC